CGCGGCTCAGAAGACAGACGCAGCCCCCAAGCCTGCAGCGCCCCGGGCCGCGGCCCCGCGCCCCGCGCTGTCGGCCGCCAGGTCCCAGCCTAAGCCGGCAGACAAGAAGCCAGTACCAAATGGTGACGTGAAAGACTCCAAGCCGGCCGCTCGCCCTGCGGCCCGGCCGGCCCCCGCCGCGCGCCCCGCGCCGCGCCCTACTCCCCGCGCCCCCGCCGCACCGGCCGCACCCACTACTAGGTAACTTCTACTCTTTAGTTACATCCTTTTTGTTCTTTGGTGACAGCATATCACACATCTTATTAGCAATAAAGTAATGACTGGAATACATAATTGTTTGATAAACAATTGTTCTAAATTCTTGTCTACATGTAATTATAATGACGTTTAACTTCTACAGGCCGAGTGCCCCTAAGCCGGCGCCGCGTGCTCCCCTGGACAAGCAGAGCAAAGACCTCGCTAACAAACGCATCACAGCCAAGGCAGCACCGCCTAGGACTGCTCCCCCTAAAGTGAGTTACTTTCTGTATATTTGCTCAACCATATGAGTGCTGGTAAGCCTATGAGTGCTGGTTTGAAATCTGGAAAAGTATCATAATTATGCGACTTTTTCCAAGTGACTTATGACTACCACTAATACTTCTTACTTACTAGTACTAATAGGAGTAGCACCTACTTACTAATTTTATTTACAAATCACTGATGTACGAGCCAGGAAAAGAAACGGAAATCGTAACTAAACCTGTCTTGAATAAGAGCAGTGGTCAGTGCTCAATTTTTGTATGACAAAGGGATCTTTGTGGCTTTGAATTTTAAAGCAAATAGTAATTTCTGTGTTCTCTCTATATACGTACTTTTGTAAATTTCAGACAACGACAACAGGCCAGAAGAAGGCCGTTACGAAGAGAACAACAGAGACAGTGAAGAAGGAGGTGGTCTCGAACGGCCTGGCTAACGGCGACGCGGCCCTGAGCAAGCCGCCGCCGAGCCCGCCCGCCGCCGACAACGCACTGTTGCCTGACGTCATCGCGTAGGCGCGATACAACAAACGATTCCTATTATTTCCGCTTGAATTTTGTGATTTTCTATAAGTGTATGATAGTTTTAACGTCGTTCGTGGCGGCGAGTCGTTAGGTGCGGGAGTTTGCTCCCACTTTTATATTATAGAGTCGCTTTTTATAGACGTGTACGTTGCCGATTCGTTGTACGCGGAGCGGGGCGAGCGGCCACGAAGCCGCGGCCACTCGCCCCGTTCCGGCTTTAAACGGTTATTATCCATTATAATGATTATAAGTCTGTTTTAGAATTTTATATTACCAACGAATGATTGATTAAATCTGGCTTTTAATTTATTTTCTTTGTATAACCGTATTATTTAAATAAAATGTGAGGAAGGACTGAGACATTGTTTTATTTATGAGTAAATAAATTTTATTACACCGGACACAGTGAATGATATTGAGACACGATTGGAATTAACATTGTTTACTTATTGCTAGTGCTTTCTTTGAAATTTCAAAGTCAATGTATACTTAAAATATGGTGTTACAAAGAAAACTGGAACATAGTATGTTACTTAAATAAATGTTTATCACCCTTTATGTTCTTTTTTTTCGAAGCTATATTATAAATTTCGTAACTAATGATTCAAATGAGGGAAGCGCAGGTCAGTATCCTTCAGGTTGTCCTCGATCCATTTCTCAGCTTGTTGTGTCATCTCCTCGTCGAAGTAGTCGCGCCAGCCTCCAGCTTTACCTGTATATTCGTAATAAAATGGTTACTAAAATGTTAAAAACCTATATTCCATTTGATGTAGTGGATCAAGCTGAAAAGTATTAAGTCAGAATAGGTATAAATATATACAGATTGATAAACTATAGTCAAATCTACCTTTTCTAATGAAAGCTTGGTCGCTAGGTATCATTATACCGAGGATCTTCATGACGTCATAGTTGACCGACTTGTTGTTCTTGAAACTTTCAATGCTGAGGTGGTCACATAAGCGTTCGATCTGTTCGTCTGAGTATTCTTTGCCAAAGAACTTTGCGACGCGACGCACAGATGTGGGCAGATCCTGAAATATTGTATAGGTATAATGAAAATTACCGACTAATTGACGTAGGTACCTGCCTCAAAATCTATTAATATTATTTATTTTCTAATTTTAAATTTAAACTATCCTCTATCAAGTAAAGTTTAATTGGTGTTTGTTAAACTACCATCAAATAGATCAAGTGACAGTTATAGATTGTGTTACCTATACCTTGGAAAGTTCCTCGTAGAATAAGAACAGCATGTTAGGGTGGTCTCTCTTCTCCCAAGCTTCTTTGAGGTGATCAAAGTATGGTGCCCAGTGATCTGTAAACAAAAATAGCAGTTGCTAAAATAACACTTACAATTGGGACGATGACGGGGTATGAAAATTAAAAATCTAATTAGTCCGTAAGTTAGATAATGAAAAAATATTAGACATGTATTTTTTTATATTGTCGTATAATAAAACAATACTTAGATAAAGGAATCAAAGTTTAGAAGTGGGGGCTAAATTGCTAAAACGTAATTTCTACGTATAAAATGTACATAGGAGTGACGTCATACGACATTTCAAATCAATATATCGTCGAAAGTATTCGTTTCTGTAAGAAAATAAAAACTGCCCCGCAACGTTTAGCAGGTTCGATTACCGCACGGAACAAATGTTTTTTTAAACGTTGGTCTACTCTAGGATTTTCTCCTGTGTCGTGGGTGCGTTTACAAACATACAAGCTCACATATACATGACATCCAGACCCGAAACAACAATTTGTGGATAACATAAAGTGTTGTTCCGTGCGGGAATCGAACCCGCGACACGTTGCACGGCAGCCGGTTGCTCAGCCACCGCACCAACCGTGCAGTCAAAATTTTTTTTTCTTCGGTGTACAAATTATTGTTTCGGGTTTGTATGTTTGCAAATAATACACTCACGATACAGGAGAAAATCCTAGTGCGGGGCAACGTTATAAAAACAACCATTCTAAAAAGGCCGCGAGTTATTGTGTGCCAAGAGCCCCAGCGTAATCTAAGACAGCTCTAGTCCTGTGTGACATTGCGTGAGCTTCTTGCCGTACACTGTATAGTATTCTAGTCGAGTCCGAGCAATACACACTAAAAATACATAGCTATTCTACTCACGTAAATCTTGTATGAAGTAATTCCAATACGTTTTGAAGTCGCCTGTGTATCCCTGCGTCCTCATGACTTTGTTCAGATGATAGAATGACACGGCAACATCTCTGGGGTCACGGGCTACGTATACCATTTTTGCTTTGTCAAGCAGCGAGGGGGGTAAGAGAGATAGAGGCATGTGAGACTTGATGAACCTCGGGGATGGGGCCACTGCAAGCTGGTCAGTGCCTGGTTGAGTGACTGCCTCCAGTAGTTCTAGATTCTCCTTGCTGTGACTGTTCTCTTCTATGAACTTCTTTTTATTTTCTGGATGCACACAAATCGAGAATCTGAAAAGATTTCATGTCTTTACCAAGAGAATTGACTACGTAGTCATATAGTGGCCTATTTGCCATTATACACGTGTATTACCAATTATTTCCAGTCATCGTTATTTAGACTAGTTGGCCTTGAGGGATTTTAAGATTACTGCCTACAGTGGTTATGGGAATGTGAATACAAGAACATCTTAAATATTTAATGGTATTCTTTTTTTTCTCCTTGATGGCAACCGAGTCTCCAAAACAATAGTGTCGTATTTAATAGTATTAAACCATGTTAGTGCCTAGGTACAAAGTAAGTACGTTAATAGGTAGGCTCCACGGGCCTGAGCACGGCTATCATGGGTATGTCGCGTACCGCGCGCGGCTCAAGGAGCCAACAGATCACAACAGATGGGGCCCAATAAGGCTGATGCCGATACGGAGCCGTGGAGAATTTAACGGGTTACCAGGGCTACGGCTCGAAGTGCAGGAGTAGGAACGGGGTGGTTTTTAATCAGTAAGAGTCTGACAATCCCTCCCGCTTCACCCAGGCGGGAGAAGGCATTCGATGATATTCTCTCTTAAAAAAAAGGGTAGGCTTCAGTGACCTTTATTCCTAAAGAGAAATAAGCCGTGTTTGCCAAGGACGTTTTCAGAAGAAAAACAACAACTGTGACACTTGGCTACTATAGTAGACTTACATATAGAACGAGAAGATATATACACACTGACACGAAGGCCATCTGTTGATCTCTCATTTTCCATGTCATTTTCCACACACATAAATAATTCACTGACATTTTGGTGCTTCAACCATTTCGAAGTGACTTTATGTCCGCCTTTTTTTCAACGTCCTTGGTGTTGCCAATTGAATATTTATCGAAATAATATAAGATCCAATATGAGTGTATATTATACCATAGCGCGATCTATTAACTTCCGAAATTACGAAACTGCCAAAACCAGAAACTTCGCAAGGTTATCACGTTCATTTATAAGATGTTTAGATGATATAATATTTTATTATTCATGTTATTTAAATCCAGTTCTAATAAGTCATTGACCCCGCCGCAATTGAAGTTACCTACTTACTTAATAAATATTCGAATGAATCGTCTGCCATTGAGGTCAATAACATAATATTGTTAATTGATTAAAACAATACTATTCTTAATAATTGTCTGTATATTTTATTTTAATTAATTCAGACTTACTCTAAAAACGGGTATCGTTCAGTGAGTGGTATAGCATTCGATTTTTCGTAATCTAGATCATTTGCGACCATCCATACCAGCTCCTGGGTCCATGTAGTTCCTGGAACAGTATAATAAATAGAGTGAGTCTAAGGAGGTATAGACAGCCATATAACTATGACCTAGCTAGGTATTAAATTCAACTAATTTATAAAGCTAAGCAAAGGGACAGCTTAAAGGGACAGCAGTCTGTTACCTGATCGTGGATAGCTTGTAACAAAGACATCATCACGTTTTATCAGCATGTTGTAAATTTTCGCAGCTTCCTCCTTGTACTTCTGAGGGAAAAAGTATTTCTTTGGACCCACGCGAACGTAACCGGTCACCTCACCTAAAAAAACAATACATTAATTATTTTTTTATGGCATAAGATGGTAAACGAGCAGACGGATCACCTGATGGTAAGCATTATCGGAGCACTAACACCAGAGGCGTTACAAGTGCTTTACCGGCCTTTTGGGGATTAGAAATTGGAGGAATGTTGGGGTTTCAGGGATTGGGAGATTGTGGGTTACAACGGTTTTCTGTGAGGTCGTGGTATGACTCCGGTCGAGCCGGCCCATTCGTGCCGAAGCATGGCTCTCCCACACTTCAAGTGTTAATTAGTATTTATAGGCTTAAAACTAGTATTTTTATTGTTTGCTATTTGTTTTGTTTTCATTTCAGTTGATCATCATCATCATCAACATCAAACATGATTTTATGATGGAAAGAAGAAACCCGGGATTGGGACCTGTGAATAATTTTATTGCTATGATATGACAGTTCACTGTTTTCTGCTCTCTTTCTACATGAGTAAGAGGGTTTGTCGTAATTTCCACGACAGACAGAAGATTATTATAGGGGTGTAGGCAGGAACCATCCCCTTATCAGCTGGATAATGTTTTTTTATTCCAGAATACACGTCTAATGTTTTTAATCAACTTTTCGTATGTCTAAACGTGGATCCGCAAGACACAATGTATTTTCTATTGTGTCCCATATCGGTGCATTCAAGCGGTTAATTTACTAGTTGGACATAAGAAAGAAAGAAAAACCATTTATTTTTGCGCAAAACACAGATAACATAATTAAAAATAAATAAAAATAAAATAAAAGCTAAAAAATTAAAATGAAGTGAAGTCTTGTCAATGGTCCACAGACTTATTATTTTACTGAAATCATAGAATACTTACCTAATATCTAATATTATATATTCAAAAGTACTCTACAGTTCTCCCTCAAATTGCTATTGATTAAATATAACGCCAAATGTAGTAGCATAATTAGATATTACTTAGATAGGTAGGTACGTGCCTATCAGAGATGATAAACAAATATTTTTATCTTGGATTTAAACAAAATGTAAAAAAGTACACGAATAGGCATTCAATTATTGTCAGTGGTCACCAACCTAGCTATTATCTTGTGATTTAAAGAATAGTTAAAGTTATGTGTACGATAGGCTCACCCCCTATTACATGGGACTTATAACATAAATACTGAAAACTGGGTGTCACGTTGTTCAAAGTCAAAGTCAAAATCATTTATTTCAATTAGGCCAGAATGGCACTTTTGAACGTCAAAATAAAAATATATTAAAAGTGAAGCTATTTGCTCATTCCAAGGTATAGATTCCTATGGAGAAGAACGAGCAAGAAACTCCATAGGTTACTCTTTTTCAATCAGGTTCACAATACAATTGACTAGTTACATAGTTTTGCTGTTTAGATGTTTAGTGGCATTAAGTGCCATAATGTGCACCTCTGCCTACAAGGCTTAACGTTATGTTATGTTTCAAAAGTTATTTATATAGCATTTTATAACGTTAATATAAAAAAGGCTTTTTTGTATTTTTTCCAAAAAGCAAAAAACGCTGAGACGCAGCCGTGCCGTT